AGGAAAGCAGGTAGGTAGAACTATTGTGCCTGCTACTAAAATATATTGGATTTCTATTTCTGGTATTCTTGTTACATATATTAACTGATGCTGTAATCATACTTCAATTTACAATGTTCCAGTATTCCAGGGTTAAGGCAAAACGATTTTTTTTAAATTTTCTGCAATTACACTTTCCCACAATTTACACCATTTTTCAATCTCCAGAACAGTATAAATAAGTAGTAGCAGTGTATTAGTAGACAAGTGGCATCAGAAATGGAACTTTTAAGAAGTATGAAGACAAACACCAGAAGACAGAGAATAAAGAATGAAACAAGCTAGTAAGATTTTCTTTTAGAACATAAATTAATAAATACCAGAAAAAGATGATATGGACATATTTTAAGAATGAGTAAAGATACAAGATAAAAGATGTGGAACATAAAATGTTCAGGAAAGTACCCACAAAGACTGAGATTAAGATGGGTACAGCAAGTTAGGAGACAGAGTGAAGAGGAGCTATGAAAAGACAGAGAGGGTTGGACAGGCCTAGTTGCTAGACAACCCATATACGTGAAATGTCTAATGAAGAACAATTGAAGAAGATATAAGATTTGAAGTTCTCATGGCAGTGAGTACAAAGAAGGCTGTCTTCTGGGTGGTAGCATCATAGTCACCTATTGCCTAAAGAATATGTGACTAATTAATTATCATTAAATAGTATATCAGTCATCATACAGAAAATTCTGCATTACAATGTCATATTATGGATAAATAATGAATTACTAAAGCTGGATATTTAGCAAGCACTGTGCCAATTATAAAAGTCTTCTAAACTAAGTATAACAGAAAATAATTTAAATATGTGCAACTGTTAATTTGGACTACGCAACATCATTATGATGATACAAACCTCAGGCTCTTCAATGTTAATTATCTGAAACTCTCGAACAAACGACAAAATGTATATACAGAATGATGTGGCAACAATCCATTCTGAAACAGTACTAGCTACATGCATTTCCCATCCACCATCCTCTGGATACCATTTCCGTGGGTCTTTTCCTGTCAAAGAAAATTATTACATTATTTTTCATGGATGATATATTTAATAAAACAATGACATGATGCACATACTAATAAACATACAGTGTGGAAATAAGCCTGATTCAGTGCCTGATTTGGAAGGGTAAATCTGAGGGGCCTTCAAATGAATGCACAATTAACAAGTTAACAGTATTTTTTAGTTGGACTTGTAAAAACTTTTGAATTCCACAGTAGTGTCTTCCTTGAACAGCTGACAGTTGCTCATCTGATCAAAGGATTCCTGAAACACCTTGAAGGTTCATTATTACAGGGTTGCTGAAGATACAATGCTGCTGTCCAGCACAGACCTTTTAAAATGTGGACTTTCTGGTTACTCTGTTATCAGTGACTCACATGTCTAAGCTGAATGCAGGTTAGTGCTCAAGATGGTTTGTAAATATATGGTAAAACAATGCATTCTCATCTACAACAGGTACGTAAAAAAGCAATTCAACTCGTGTGTCACAGACAATATCAACAAAAATCCACTGATGTTGATATCCCTACAAGGTTTTTCATCCATTATTTGTTTAATAAATTCAAAACTATGGTGTCAGTATCTGACAGTAAATAAAAAGATGCCACACATTGACTGAAGGAAAGCCTGAGGATACTGGTGCAAGACTGAAACATTTGCCAAGAAAATCACTGACAAAACAAGCACCGAAAGCTGACATTTCAGTTTCCAATAAATCCAGCTGAAAACAGATAAGTTTTCATTGATATTAGATCATGCATCCATTACAAAGAATCCTTCAACAACTATTCTATTACATACCATGGAACTGAAGGTGTGAAATAACGCCTGTTATGCTGAGAAGAATGAAGAAAATAGTGCAAACCATTGCCAGTACAACTCGTGCATGAGCCATAGCTATGCTATTTGCTAATGGATGTAAGTAATATGAACATACTGCCTAAAAAAGAGAAGTACCCATGAGAAACACATGAAGATGTAAAGGCATACTAATAATATATAAGGCTACTGCCAAGACAGTTTTATATATATTTTTATATATATATAATTGTGCTGCCTATAAACATTACCATCATTTATGGCCTCAAACAGATAAGGTATCAAACTGAATAATCAAAAATCAGTCAGAAATGTGGTTGTAAACAGTATACTACTTATTTAACCTAAAATCAATTGCAGAGAAAAGTTGAGTCACAGTGGAATCATGTGAACATGTTTGTGAAATTTATCTACAACAGTAAGTGTTTAAAAACACAAATGTTGCCATTTCATGATGTACCTACAATATTAAATAATACCTAAATTTGTCTTAATTATCTGTACATAAGAATTACTTGTGGACTTTATCTTTTATTGCATATTAACCAAGTTTTGATTAAAGCTGTAGTAAAATTAAGTGGTATGGATCATAATGGTATATTCTTATTATTCCATAAAGTTCTCAAAGAAAGTAAACAGAATTAGTAATTTTTAAGATATTTAGTTTAATAACTTTTATTTGAAATGGTTTAGGCGCTGCACAAAAAACTAGTATATGACATTAAATGTGAGCTGGGATAGTTCAGTCAGTATAGTATATGGTTATGGGTTGGGTTACTGGAATTTGATTTCTGACAGGAACCCAGAGTCATAAATTATTTTTCTCTCTATTTTGTTAAACATTCACCATATTAAAAAATGTTTTAAGCAAAATCTGTAGACCTCACTGAAAGCTACACTTTGTCTTATACAGATCTTTTGTGCAATGCCCAGTTTCTGAGAAAACTGGTAAAGTTTAAATTAAGCTTTTTGTATTTTTGACTGATACAAAATCAAAATTAAATCTGTCTATAATTTAGTATTTGAAATATGGACAAAGACAGCCTCCTAAACAGTCATGAGTTTTAAGCACCGTACACAAAGAACACAAATAAATACAATGGGCATACTTACTTGGAACCAGATATATACAGTCCCAAGTCCAAAACAAAGAAAGGCACCAGTGAGGTGAACAATAATAACATTTGTTTCTTGGAAGTTTGCAACGAGACTGAGTCCAAAACAGGACAAATATCCAATCCATAATGCAATTTTATTATGTTTAACAACAGCTGATGGCAATGCATAGCTCCTATAATATTCATCTATTTGTCTGTAACGTATGTAGATCACCATGACCACTGAAAAAAAAAACATTCAAAATTCAAACTCAGCCTTAAAAATTAAAAGAAAATGAGAAAATTAATTATATCCAAATAACATAAGAAAATAATATAATTTTTCTTTCTCCTCCTCCGATAGGGACAAGCTTCTAAAACCTGCAAACTGGCTGCATTCCTCATGATAAATTTGAAATAATATGATGAGCAAGTTAAGCATTCATAAATAAGAAACTGCACAGATCTTCATAGGATTGGTACAATAAAATCTAGCTTTCAGATATAAAATTTTTCTAATATAACCAATGTCCTGAAAATCGGTCACCCCTATACTAGGGTAATTTCATTGTAAGGACAGAGAAAGAAATCCTGCTTAATTTTCTTCTTACACTTCTAAAGCACATTACACTGGAAAATATAAACTTTAAATAACAATTTGCTTGAAACATTATACATTTTTACTCTGAGTTTGTCCCAACATTACCATGCATTTAATATGTAATGGACATTCCACAGTAATACAGCATCAGTTTAAATTTCATCAGTGTTAATGCAAGATGGAGGATGAGGTACAAGATGTGGAAGAGAGGAAAAGGAATGAAAGAAACAAAGATGTATAATGGAGAAAATACCAATACAATCATGTTTTCTATTAATCTCCATATACTGGAAGCCAACAATTCAATCAATTACATTTCAGGTACATGGAATTATTAACACTAAGAACTCACATAAGATTGTCCCACCATTCATCAGTTGACCAAAGACACAACTTTCTGGTGAATGAGTGGCTGCATCGCTTATATAAGGAAAATCAGGTTCAACATGACCCAACAATACTGCAGCTATGTATCTGCAAATATAACATTATAAATGTAATTACAAAGTAAATACTTCCAGAAGAAAAGAGTGAACAATTTATAACACCAAGCACAGGTCACAAAAATCAACATATATATAAAAGGAATTTTTCACAGACCTTGCAAATTTTTAACAAATGCCACCAAAGAAGTTATTTAAAAATGTTTTTAATATAACATTTATTACAGAATGAAATGAAAATTAAAATCTTTGTTCCTGACAGGAGGCCTCAAAGAGATCTTTTGACAAGAAAAGTGAACTTATTAAACAGTTTCTATAACTGATACTAGAAAATTTGCATGGTTTCAGCGAGTATGCATTTTATTGATTTAAATCAAGAATTTCTTATGAGTTCAATACATTAATATTTTATGAAATCCTACTTACGTCCCTAAAAATGTGCATGGAAAGATCACAAATATGGCAACAGGCAGTAAATACACTCTAAAAAAAAAGTACAAGAATGTGTACAATAAAAACAAATACAGTTGCCCTGCAAATTATGTAAACATTAAATGCTGGAAATTTATATAGGCCTAAGTGAGATAAAATCAAAGCTGGACTGAAAGATCATAATATACCCTGCTAGGTCATATTATTGAGGACAGATGTGTTTCAGATGTGAACAAGCTCACTAGTCCAAGTTTTCAAACTGATGTATTAGCTGGAAGAGAGACGTACAGGGAAATGAAAGAATATGTTAAACATTTGCACAGAGTGAACGTCATTGCCTTTTAATTGTTCATGTTACACAGTCCTGCAAAACAACCAATCTATGCAATTACTTGAAAACATTAGTCTTTATTTTGTACTACAGCAGGAGTAGAGTAGAGTAGAGTAGAGTTTATTTACATTCCATAGATACTTCTTAGGACTCAACCAAAGGATGTAGAACATGTCAGCAGGTGTTCCTTTATTTATTTATTTGCTCCTTCAACTTATGCCTTATTCCATACCTTCATTTTTGAACATGACTGTACTCCATTACAATGACTTTACAAAGGCTGTATACAATCACACCAGCAAATGGCTCACAGTTAATCAATGCACAGCATGCATCTCAGCTGCAGTACATGTCCATACCAAGTGCTTTAACCCACTGGAGACAGCATAGGAGGTTGTGTAGGACTGCATAACACACAGGCAAATAGTTTCAATATCTCTAAACTTGATTGGTTACTCAATGGCATTATAACGACAGCTGTAATAAAAGTAACAAGTTACCATCTTTTGAATCAACAGAATTGTTTCCATATTCATGGAGTAACTTACGAACACTGTGATTAATTGAAAAACAAGGTTATGTTGATCAACATTGTACATATATGGTGTTGTACCTCAACAGATTACATCACTTAGCTCAGTTACATATTCTGCCGTTTCTTTCATTTTATTAATGTGAAATGGACACAAAAAAGTTACATATATGACAACTTACATATATTTATAACATCATCCCGGGAACATAATACTGCCTGCTGACAGTTGAAACGCTTTCCATTGGACAGTACTCCGACATTTACCTGTGATCACTTGTCACTGAAAACAGAAAAGCTACCAGAAAACGAACAACACATTGAAGCAAAAGACGAAACATGCCTACTTCCAAATAGCGCAAGTTGATTAGTTTGCTCTTTTGTTGTACCAAGAGTTTTTACCGTGAGGAATTTCGCAAAGTATGTGGAATATGGGTTATACAGGACTTGCACAAACTAAAATTAAATTCTCACTAAATAAGATCATACAGGATAGTTGTGTTGTGAAATGTATCTAATATATTATTATTATCATCACCAATATATACATATAATGTGGAAATGTTCATGTAGCAATGCATATCCTGACAAGGAAATGCCGAATGAAACAACAGTACTCCGACTGGTAACAACATTTCGGGACACAGGAAGTATTTGTGACAAATCCAGCTACATAACAGCTGAAATTACGGCCGTGCCGATTTCAAGTAGCGAATCAACTGCAATAATGGGATACAGCAGCAATAATTAAATATTGCCGTTGGTTCCGTCCTTTTGTGTTTGAAGGAGTTCATGTATCGTAGTTAGGATTAAGTTTTATATGAAACATGTACTTGTGGGGTGCCATGGTGTAACGTGTAGTCGCCTATATAAACACAAATGCACGGGCCAGTTTAAATCACCCAATAAAAAGAGACTAAAAGGAGAAACGATGATTTACTATAAATGTTAATTAAGAGTTGTTTAGAACTATTATTGGGAGAAATAGTTTTTATTTCAGCAGTTATTTTAGACTAAGAAAAAGTGATTATCTTTAATAATACCCATTCATAATGGCACCAAAGAAAGTTACTAGAGATGAAAAGCCTAAGAGGAAAATCGTAATTTCTACGATAGAGATGAAAAAGGAACTTATCACTAAGTGAGAAAGTGGTACACGTTTATCGGACCTGGCTGCTCAATATGGCATAGCTAAGTCGACCATATCGACCATACTGAAGAACAAGGAAGTCATTAAAGCGGCTAATGTGGCGAAAGGGGTAAAAACCCTTACCAGTGGAAGAAGTGGAAAAACTTTTAATGGTTTGGATCAATGAAAAACAGTTGGCTGGTGATAGTGTGTCTGAAGAGAAGTGGCACCCCAATATCGCAGTTGTGAACAGGAGTTTCAACCTGTTTAATGACAATGTAATGCAACATTTCAGAATTTTTTTAAAAAATAGACAAAAACAAATGACATTAGACAGATTTCTCTCCGAAGAAAAATCAAGTGGTGGTAATGTTAATGAACCACAACTCTCAACTAGTGGATTCCAGACGAAAGAAGAGTAATTCACCTTCCAGTGAACAGTAATATCCCTCCTACTATTATTATTGATTGATTATTATACAATATTTTTATGTACATACTATTATAAATAAAAACATTCAATTATTGAAATTAAATATACTTGTTTTATCATTATTTACCAATATGATCTTTTGAAATAGGCACTTAAAATGTTTTATTTTGGGTAAATTTTGGGGTCTGGAACGGATTAATTCAATTTACATTATCTTATGGGGAAATTTAACTCGAAAGTCGAACAACTTGAAAGTCGAACCGTCTCCTGGAACGGATTGTGTTCGAAGTTCCACTGTATTGTGTTTGTTCATGTGAATGTTCGTTTATTTTTAAATGTGATAACAGGAGCCTCAAACTCCAGGTCGTAGAACTCGGGCACGAAAGAAAGGATGAGGATGCAATACGTGATGACGAGGATCCACTCGGAAATTGTGCTCACAAGATGCAATTCCCAACCTCCATCTTCAGGATTCCACTTTTGTGGGTTATTGGTTGAACCTGTGAAAACAATATATTTTTTCCACAGTCAGTCCTATATAGAGTTGGGCAAATAGTTCGGCGTCTGAGTGACGTCACATTCTAAGAAATTTATAGCGATTATATTAGTCATTCGAAACGCATCTGACATAACTAAGAATAAATATTTTCAGCATATAATAACCAAGACTTCTGCCGCGACCTTCAAGAGCCGCTCGTAACGGTCGCTCACAGGCCATGTAGTTTGCCGATATCTATACACATGTAGAACCTAGGAGTAAATACATTTGTCTGTAGAGAGACGCCATTTTTCCCATATGGTCTTAAATTCGCGCATCGCAGTTATGTCGTTCGCAAGGGCTTTCACCGCGAATAGTAAAGGTGCACTGCACTTTTAAGAAATATAAAATTAGAAATTGTAACACGACGATATTCAACCCTCATTCAAATGTGCCGCCATTGCTGTTTCTATTATGCTTATAGGTAGGAGAGATAATGCAGCAAACATCTACTTACCGCGATATTCCGATAAGGCCAGAGTTGCTGTTACTACTGTTGAAATCGTCGTCAAAATACAAATCCCAACCAGAATCGCACGTGTCAGCAACAGGCGTTTCGAGGTTAGGCCGGGAACTTTGTAAGAAATCCATAACTAACAAGAACGTATTATTAGATGTGATTAAACATGTGTAACCCAAACGAGATTTGATTTCCTCATGACAATGAAGAATCGATGGTGGTCTTCTGGGTTGTGACGCCGTTTTAACATGTCGGAGCTACCAACGTTTAGGTCCTTGAAGATGGAGACATATTCCATCGAAACTTTGGTGCCGACCTACTAGTCGACACGACGTCACAACCCAGAAGACCGACATCAATTTTCGACCCAAATGCTAGAAAATCACTGAACGATCACGACCAGACATTACAATTATCATATTACTGTACTGTCGAAGACATTGATCAAGTTTACACTGTCGATATCAGACCACAGCCATTCATTCTGACGAGCTACAATTTCGTATTATACGCATAAGTAATTTCATTAAAAGCATACATTTAGTTACGAGTTACGGTTATGCATACAACTGAGGGTGAAATGGACAAGGGGAAACTTGGGTGTTGTTGCGAAATGCGTCTCGTGTTTTATATTCATAAGGACTGTAATCGATCCAGGGCGGTACTCCGATATTTTCTGAACGCTGGGAGTCGCCCTGACATTTCTTTTAAAGATAAAGATGTCAGATATAGGAGGTGTAGTCTAAGGGTGAGGGTGGTTGTGAACTCTTTGCTTATAATCTAGTTTTACAGAGCATGCCCCTATATAAATGTAGGAAAATTATGTGGTATAAAAATTAGCATACAATAATACAATAATACAATTCCCTAATTTGTATAATTTGTTATTTTTGTGGGATTTTGTAGTTTAATTGTGCATTCAAAAACGCAAAGCTGTCATTAAGTAACAATAGAACGACGTCATGTTTGTTTCTTTCAACCTGGAACTGTGTGCAATACCGCCCTGTCACCTTTATTTTTTGAGATTGCTTCTCTGTTCAGAAGATACCAGTAACGACCTAACACAGATAAGTAATTTAAACTAAAGATGTCTAATGAATGTACCTGTAAGCTGAAGTAAATGGTTCCAGCTCCAAAGCATAAAATGGCTCCCAGCAAGTGGACTACAATAACATTTGATTCCTGGAAGTTGGCAACAATGTCCATGCCGATACAAGAAAGAAGACCGAAGGCTGAAGTCACCTTGTTAAATCTGTGACTTATCCCGCCCTTGGATGTAATCGTTTGTTGGAAATTCTTTACTTCCAGGTATTTTATATAGACACAAATCGCAACTAAAAGAGGAAAATATAAAACATAGTTGTTTAAAAACAGCGCACACTTTCGAAGTGGGGAAAAATATTATCCTATGTTCTCAGTTTTATGAAAGGTACACGGTCCGACAATATTATTCCAAATAATACGCCTTTACAGTCCTATGTGTAAAGTTTGTAGAGTTTGATTATGATGATATCGAACGAACTAAAGTAAGACTAGCACAAAAATTGTTACGAAAACCTTCTCATTCTTGGTAAAACCACGTCTGTACGCATGTCTAAGCGCTTGTTTCTTTCAGAAGTCATCATATGTAGACTCTTGAATTTTCGTATAAACCACGTCGTAGCTTTTATACTCACTTATGAAAGCTGCAATGTTAACAAGTTGCCCAAATATGCAGCTCTCAGGTGAGTAACTTCCCGTGTCGCTTATGTACGGAAATGCAGGATCCACGTGTTCGTTTAGAACTGCTATTGTGTACCTGTTGACAGTAAAAAAAATAATTCGTTGTGCTATTGCGATTCGCTACGGCTAACAGATTGCAGTCGGAACGGAATTGCTCCAGTAGCGTCTTCATTTACGTAATGAGGAGATTCACAACAATATTATGAGTAGGATCGAATCGACAGGAAATATAAGTGACATTAACATTAATATTAGTCAACAATTACGCAGTTTTCTGTTTCTAAGAAACATTGAAAAAGATAAGTATCAAGCATGTGTTAATATCACGCATTGATTGATTTACTGATAACTGCATTGTCTCAAGCGCTACAGACTTTATAGGAGTTGAGGTTTTCACGTCTGTGAGTCTGAAGATTGCACCAACGTTTCGGAGGTCGTGCTGCCTCCGTCATCAGGGCGATAAATGAGCTATGCGAGCGGAAAGGACTAGGTTTATAGGGACTGTGTTGTACTGTCTTTATGTGTAAATTAAGAAACGTAGGCGAAGAGCCAACTGAGTACGTCTGATGTGGCTGACCAACATTGAATAAATTTAGCCGTTCCAAGAATAATCACAAATAACCGTAAACATTCACAACATACGTCAGTTTAGAATCGTCCCTTATCTAACATATGACTCCCACGTGGTATCTTCCGTTATGCTTTTCCGATCAAAGTTTTTGTATGAATTTGTCATCTCCATCATGCTACATGCCCCGTCCGAGCATTCTTGATTTGGCCAGCCTATTAATTTTAGGTGACGAGTAGAAACTGCCACATAAGACAGAAAGTATACACAAAATCGTAAGATATTTGGCATGCGTCACCCACAACTGTATTATTAGCTATCCATTGCTCTCCATTAATTATGAACATAATATTGCAAAACACATCTGAAAACTACGCCTTCGCGTAAGCATTTTTCTTCCTTTCTTAACGCTAAGAATTCTTCCAATTCTTGCAGTGACACCGTGGTCAAATTAATGTCATGACGTTCAGTCAGCCTTGTTACGACCAGCTGTGAGGATTATCGGTTGTTATCGGTAAAACGTAATGAGTATGCAGTCAGTTTATCACAACAATCAGGCCTACGTGACAGAGCAGGAATTGAGCCTCGTCATGTAAGGGTGCCATCATCACATTTATCTGGTTAAAGTAAGTAAAACTACGAAAAACCTCAGGATAACGCCTGCTGTAAGCTACGATATTTAAGGCTTTTATATTCGTGTTAAAAATCACCACGATTTTCGTGTGTTAATAAGAAAGTTTATTACTTACGTGGTTAGAAATGAAACAGGCACTATTATAAACACCATTACGGGAAGCAAGTATATCCATGTAAACGCCATGTCCTTTCTGTGAACAAATTAAATAAAATATTTATTGTCGATTGGCCCTTGCTTACACAAAATAAACGCTCCACAAACCAAAGCACCTTATCTGTGAAACTAAGAGCTGGCAAAACAATCATTTCCAGAAATTCAGATCACAGCTTTAATAAATCTGACCGTAGTTTAACATTCTTGAATGGTATTACAAATACACGAGTTGCGTTCAAGAACAGTATGGGTTCTTGCCATCCACAACAGACAAATAAAACTAATTCTACGCTGCTTATCTAGGTTTTGTGCGAATTGTAATAACTCAGATAACGCTAAAGCACTAAGAAGCAGTAAGCTCCAATAAGGAACCTACGATTGTACTCGCAGAAGACGATTATATTTCTTTGCTCTGTTAACAAAGAAACATCGTATGAAATTCTGAGCGGTGACGACGTAATAGTCAAAGTTTAAGTTACGTTTTGCACACAGGTATGCATGGTATATGCTTACTTTACGATTCTGTTTCAACAATTGAGGTTTCACGGCAAATCGCTGAATGGTGGGTGGGTAAGGACTTAAAAGGAGATGACCGTGACTTGGTTTAAGGCATGATCCCAGAATTTGCCTGGAAAAACAAATTAAACTTATAAAAAAAGGTAGCTGGTAACCAGGTCGTAATTCGAACCGGGTATGTCTAGCTCATTAATACAGTTGCAGAGCTTTGCCACAACACCTACCTGTTCGGTGTGCTTGCGTGCGAAGATCGAATTTGTTTCAACTCGAGAACGTTGGACGGATTTTCATTAAATATATGAACGGCATGCATTTGAAGGCCACTACAACCTCGTATATTTGAATTTCCTACAGTTGGCAACAACATGGTGCATGCACAAACTTGTGAGATAAGATTGGCAATGGCGCTACATGATCATTTAAGATTTTTTTAAAATGTAAGTAATAACGTGAAGCTGTATGAAATCTATAGGCCTAGTTAGCTTTCCGTTTTATGGCAGTAACTTGGAGTTTAAATGTTGTATGGTGACAGGTCTTAAACATAACTACAAATTCTGAATGAAATATTGTTGAGAAATCCATAGAGAGAAAACGATGGTGCGAATCTTTGAGGTCGTGTCTAACAAATGTAACGTAGACAGAATGTGTATTTACATACATACATCTTTATTACATTCCATGGATCCATAAGTTAATCAGATGACAATAAGATTTAGAATAAGTCATAATAATACAATACATGTTATACAAATACAAGTCATACTATTAAATAAATGTCACAAAACACAAACAAAGGGTTCGCATAAAGTAGAGATAAGTTAAAAATAAATCCACCCATTATATACAATAGATAAATTATGACTTACTTGTAAACATTAAATACGAGGGTCGCTCATTAAATAATGCCCCACATTTTTTTTCTCAGAATATATTTACTCAAGATGGCTGAAATTTAGTGACAATATAAATCAATGTTTCCTTTACACATAAGCAATGAGTTCTTCCCAAAAGGAAAATAAGTAATACTGAATTTAATAATGACAAACATAAAGTAATAAAAAAATTGTGTGGACCAGGAATTCATCCTATGATCATTTTCGCACAAGTTCCGTAGTCCACGAGCTAAATTGGATGTCATTGTTTGTTGTTATCACAATCGTCAGGTGCTGGGATTTTGTAGCCCGTTACGCCGCCGTAATTTGCCATGTCGTTATTTGTAGGCCTGTTATCTACAGTGCACGATTTGCAAAATTTCAGTTGAAATTTATTTGTTTCAATAAACAACTTTTTGTTTTATGAGTACTTTTCTTAAGAATAAAGGATTAAGAGAAATCTCGACATACATTGTATATGCTCAATGCATTGAACAGTTTGCAATTCATAAACACAAATCAAGGCCCTCTATTTGAAACTATATTATTGCTTCGATATTCAGTTTCTGATAAACAAATAAAACGTTAGAGCAGAAGAAAAATTAACATTTAGAATTTACGTTGATGTTCTTAGTGATAATGATAGTTGGCGATATGTGGTAGGCTATTAGGAACTACATGAATTAGATTGCAAAGCTCTTCAGTTTGTGTGTGTGTGTGAATAAGAACAGAATATAGTGTATTTAGCTTACGTTCTATAGAACCAAGACGTATACTCTCTGTATACTCTGTCTGATATGGATTGCACCTTTCAATCTTGTATTCCAGTTCACTGGTTTTAAGGAGTATTATCACAAATAATATCGTCTTCAGGATGACAGTGTACAGATAATCAACATTTTTAAGATATTGTAGGTGCGTCATATTGTGATTGATTTAAATAGTATTAAAAATATATTAAAATTGGCCGTCAATCACAATATAAGATAATTAAAAAATTAAAATATCATTTTTCGTTCCGTATCGAGTACTCGATTTACATGTGGAATATTTACGACATGTTTCGGCTATCATAGAGCCGTCATCAGGTGTTATGTTATAAACTTTTTAACTGAATTACTGATTTACATGTCGTAAATGTTCCACATGTAAATCGAGTACTCGATACGGAACGAAAAATGATATTTTAATTTTTTAATTATCTTATATTGTGATTGACGGCCAATTTTAATATATTTTTAATACTAATCAACATTTTGTAAATTGATAATTTCAGTTCACAGAAATAAGTGGCTGTGAAATAAGTGCTGATAAAATGCATAAATTAAGTTCATTTATCTTCAGCAATTTGACCCTTTGCGCAAATGATGACAATAGATGCATTAATATGAATTACAAATAGTATTGTGCATCTCCGCTACATCTTCTGTGGCCTCACTTTTATGCTCCGTTCCACATATCCAGTACAATGGACGGCCATTTTCTGTGCACTGATCTCACCGAAGAACGAGCGATTAGTTGTCACCATTTTGCTTATCTGCACGTGATGGACACACGGAAACACAGATGACCACGAAAATATTGTAGATGTAGCACCTATTGCATGTAATTATTTTTTTTGATAAGTAGAAACGTGATTAAACTATCTTGTATTTTTAACACTGCGCTTGCAAGATATTATGGCTGCGTCATTAAAATCAGAGGTAAAAGAAATAAATAGTTGGTTGAAAGTAACCTAAATTGCACAGAGGTATTTGTATGGTATATATTTTCACCAGGTGCAAATAATTCTACAGTACTTGGTACAATAGCGTAGTAGAATAATTTCTTTTTTAAGAATCGAGGGCACACCGTCATAACCATGTATATTTTTCACTTTAGTACCTTCCCCGTTTGAATGTTCGGATCCTCCGGGTGGTTTCTTCCTTTCAGACTTTCTGTCTTAAGTCATATTTGCATTCCTTACTTCATACGTGCCGCATGTCTCACTCATCTCATTATTTATGATTTATTTGCTGTAACAATATTTTGAAATTTTCCATATTGTTCTCAGTTTTGTCATTTCTTTCTTGTGGTTGCAAACATTTTCAGAATTTCTGACATCTGCAGTCTTACTTTCACAGGTAGAGAAGCCAAGTTTCACATTAGGCATGGCCCTGTAGCTTGGAGATTGATCAAGGGTATTTGCTGTCCTATAATATAGAAATGGCTGATCATGAAATGTTTATCGACATGTTAAGTAATTTATGTATTTTCAGGAACATCCAAGGAATTTGATTCCTGAGTTATGTCGTCTTTTCTATAATCTTGGATGGGTAACAGGAACAGGTGGAGGAATAAGCATAAAATCTGAGTAAGTTGTGCAAATATTTTTTTCCAACTTTTAAGCATTGGCTGATTTATTACGTTTGTAAAGTTAAGAGTTAGCGATGGGAAGCTGGAGTAGTTCAGGTGGCTGAGCTGAAGGGTAGATGATCAGGGGTTAATTCCTAACTGAGGCAGAGACTTTTCTTTTCAGACTGGCTTGGGGGCCAACACAAGCTTATAACTAGTGGATATTGGGGGTTATCCCAGGTGTAAGGTGATCAGGATGTGAAACTAGCCACTCTGTTCCATCTAGTGATGGTAATGCATGGAGCTATACCTCCAGTCCACATACATCTTCATAGTTTGGTGCTCAGAAAGAAAGGAACTGAATTTATTTACATTTGATAGATCCTTTATAGGCATAAGCCAAAGATACATAGCATAAATACAATACTTATTTCTAGTAGAAATATAAATACCTAGTTATAACAGCTATTTACATGTAAGATTTGAGGTTTTCACAGAGGTGAGTATGAAGATTTTTGTCTTCTGGGTTGTTGCGATGTGTAGTCTGGTCGATGTTAACCAACGTTTCAGAGGTCATACTGCCTCCGTCATCAGATCACTGTTGTTACATATATTTCTAAATTCTTCTACTGAATAGGTGATATTCTTTTAATGCTGGGTTAAATATTTTTATATCATGATTTAAACTTTTGATAGTAGGTGGAAGATTATTGAATAACTTAATTCCATTATAGTAAACTCCTTTTTTATATTTACTGAGGTTAGAATTTGGCACATGAAGATTGTATCTGTATGTTGTTCTTATATTGTAGATATCTGAATTTGTTTGAAAATTTTCCATGTTATGCACTACAAATGATAATAGTGAGAGCAAGAATTCACTAGGTAGTGGAAGAATATTAAACTTCTTAAATAATTCCCTACAAGAGGCTCTTCTTTTAGTGCTTGCCATTATTCTAATGATCCTCTTTTGAATGTAAAATAGGTTTTTACTGTCCGTTGAATTTCCCCAGAAAATTATTCCATATGACATGATGAAATGGAAGTACAGGTGGCCTATGATAGAACTTCAAGGACTGATATCATCTTCATCAAAACTATGTTTGGTAATTTTAATGCATTCTGTTTGATAATATATATCCTTTGGCAGAGACAAAATTTATATTGCTCCATCTGGTGTTCAGAAGGAGCGCATATTACCAGAAGATCTGTTTGTACAGGACATTGAGGGACAGGATTTGGAACTGCCTCCACCAGAGAAGCAGTTGAAGAAGAGTCAGTGCACACCACTGTTTATGTGTGCTTACAAAGGTAGGAAATAATAGTAATCCATTTATGTATGTCATCATAGTTTTTCTATGAAAATAAGTAAGAAAACCTGTAACAGGCTCTATTTTAACAGGCGTCCACAATCTAAACCACTGATTTGGAACAAATTAATATTGTGTGCCCATCACTGAAACTATACGGATGTCAGCACTGAGAAGAGCAGCTCGTTTAAAGTTTTGTTTAGTATTTCTTAGATGGTTCTTCAGATGAAAATGAAGCAATTATTGTTGAACACTAGTTGTATGCAGTTCAAACATTTATAGCAATGGCATGTTATAATGTTATAATGTGTAGAATTGTTTCTTTAGACTTTGTTGATCACCTAAAATTATAAAATCACAATATTTTCAAACTAGATTCTGACCTTTGTATCAACACTTTTACCCTCAGTTGAGCATGCTTATTCAGAATAGTAATATCTCATCACCAACCTTTTAATGTTATATATGATAAAATTTTACCCAGAATTCTAATCACAGCATGACAATAAATCATCTTACCTGTTTCCTATCAGGTAGCCTTCTCAAGGTACTCTGTGTACTGTGGAGGTAGGAAATATGAAATGACTATTCAGAAAGAAAGAAAAAATCATAAATCTCCATCATTTTATAAGAAACAAAATTCGAGGTCAGATTTTCACCACCCTTAGATGATATCGTGCCTATTAACTTCTGATATGATTTTTTTATGTGTGAATAAGCTTGCCCCTAAATTATCATTATATCATTTTCATTTTCACAAGAGAATATATGATTAATTATATGCTGGTTCTGTGCCACATATGTTCTTTCTGACTTCCAGTACTCCCACTAGACTAACTTGTAGTTTGCTATATCTGTTTTTGCTATTCTAAGTTAAAAATTTTGAATATCGAATCCTGTACCTAAATTCAAAACAGTAACAGCAGTTGTAGATTATCTCATAAATTCTGTTCACATGCTAGGTCTCACTTTTCTTACAGCCCGTAAAGCTGGTGCAGTAATTCACACTCATTCCAAAGCAGCTGTCATGGCAACATTGCTGTATCCTGGGAAGGAATTCAAAGTTACCCATTTGGAGATGATAAAGGTATGTTGGGAGATTAAGTGTTTTAGATGTCTTGCCAATGAAAATGGATAGCTAGGATGTCTTGGCAGACCATGTGTAATGATGGATTTTGAAAAATACTGCTATGAAACTTTTATAAGGGCCATTTCTTTTTCAGCAGATTGTAAAATAATTCCATGGCAACTATGCGAAGTCCGTATTTCTGTGATTGTACACTGTCAGTAACTTTGACTTGCTATGTTTTGAAGGGAATACGCAATCAGAAACTTGGCCGAAACTACAATTATGATGAAGAACTTGTGGTTCCTATAATTGAAAATACCCCATTGGAAGCAGATCTGAAAGATAGGATGTCTGAAGTATTAGAAGAATACCCACAGACAACAGCTGTTCTTGTCCGACGGCACGGTGTATATGTCTGGGGTGACACTTGGCAACAGGCCAAGACCATGTAAGGTTACATCATAGTCCTGCAGTATATTTAACATAAACCTACAATCCATGTTTCATTTGAGACAGCTAGTTATCATTATTACATGTATTACATATTTACTATGCATTTTAATGTCAGTACATACAGCTTCAGATTTTATTTATGCAAGTTTATCAAAGTCTTACCCCAAAGTCCATTCTGAAGGTGAAAATAATTTTTTCTTACTTCTACATATTCTGCTACAGTGTTGTTAGAGTATGTAATAAGAAAAGAAATAATAAGTATCTTTTACATTTTTCTGGTTATGGTCCCATATAATGATGGTCCAGCCATCACCAATAACTGAAGAACGAGTAAGCTTCAAATTAAATAGTCTTCAGCTTGTACTTGTAATCAAGAATGATTTGACATTGAAAACATAAACAAGGATTTGAAAGAATATATAAAAAAATTAGCAATTTGAATTCGTGTTTAATTCTTGTTTAGAACTGCAAAATTGTGGGTATAGACACACAAGAATTGAAGAACATGTGTTTATGCCCAAAGTATTTCTGGTGTATTTGTTTCCTTACAGGACTGAGTGTTATGATTACTTGTTTGATGTAGCAGTAAAATTGAAGCTTTATGGCTTGAATCCACAAGAGACACCAGAACAATATGAACTGAAAATTCAGAAAGAAGATGCCTTGCTGAATAATGGAAGATAAGATGTATTCTGGCTGCATTAACATTAAAAGTGTGGATGAATATGCAGAATTAACAATGAATATATAAAGTATATTTTATGGAAAGTAGACCATTCTAAACTCTTCTAATCACAATTTGATTAAATAAAGATACATTTCATTTTACATTCAGTGTAATCCTTGACCCTTGTGTGAAGTAATGCTTTTTCCTATGAATGAAATCCTGTCATTCCTTTGTGTGTAACAGTTTTAATTTAAAGCAATTAATGGTTTTTATTCTGCAATTTTTTTATGAAAACTTTCTTGGTGTCCTTGTACTTATAATTTCTTGTAGTAATTTTTAGATTTTCATTTCCCTTTTGAACTAGTGAAGAAGGTTAAAAATGTGTGTATTTTTACTTCCATGCCCCATACATCTTCATGGTGTAATGCTTGAACTCATGGCCTTTCCTTCAATATTTCAGTAGTTTTTTTCAAAGTTAAGGGTATAGAGTTATTTTTGGTGCATGACATTGTACTCTTGATGTGGGTTAAAAAATGAGAAAGCTAATTGCTTCCTTGCAGTTGTGTAAGTTTGTGTATATGACTAGTTTTTACATCTTGTTCACAATGTGAATATATCATGTTAAAGTCACTTGTTATGGAACCATCATGTTCTGGTCCCATGAATTTTGTAACTGAATAGAGATTATAGCCATTTCGGTCCATTTAGGCCCTGTGGGCTATGAGGCCGCCTTTGCCATTTTGGCTATTTAGGCCCATCCGGGCCTTGGGAACAAAAAATCTAACCCAACCTTTTTCAACCCACTAACCTAACGTAACCGAACTCAACTTAACCCAACCTAATCAACATTTCAGGCCATTTAGTCCCTTTGGGCCCATTGAGATCATAGTGCCACTTAAGCCCATCGGGGCCTGTAGGATAAGAGGGGGAAGCTGAAAGCACTCCAAAGTGCAGAACTGGCTCCTTAGCCATAGAGAGGGCAACTGTTGTAAGGGAGGAAACCCTGACAGAAAACACCGGGCAGATGGCGCTCCTAGATGTAGAGAAATCAATGCCCGCTAATATAAAATCGTGCAGGTTTGGACGCTGCAAGGTGGAAGCCTGCCACCAAAATATACGTACGCAGCCCTCTTTAGGCCGCCAGGTGAGAATTAAATTACTGAAAAAGAAAAGACATGAAAGAAAAATACATAAAAGGCTCAATGGATCGAAGTATTTGCTTCGGAACGGGGAATCAGTACACAAACCCTGGAAAGGAAGAAGCATCGTTATGAAATAACGCATCAACCTTGACTTATTTGTCATCTTCTTCCACAGATTCACTAAGGAGAGTAAATTATCGGAGCTGTCGAGCATGGTGTTTTATTTAATGGAAAACTTCCTAATGTGGATACTAAGGAGGTGGGGGATTTCCGGTAAGTAGTGTTCTGTGTCTTAGGCTATGGAGTGGGTTAGTGAAGCGCGATAGTAATCACTTGCTGCAGAACGTGCGAGATACGTATGTTTACATTTCATAATGTAGGCGCTGCATTACAATTTTAAACAGCTTTACAAAAAAGTAAGTACAGTAGCCGCTAACGTTACGACACTGAAGATGTTTGACTGTGTGTTTGGCATTGAGAGGTTATACTCAGGTTCCAGCATGACTCATATGTTTTCTTTTAGATTGGAAGTTCATCGACAGATTCGATTTCGGAGTAGAAATGACCCGTGCTTATATTGTTGTGTGTATTTTATGGATATACTAAATATGTAATTTCATCTGAGATTTAAGATTCTTACGGTGAAGAATGTCAATTGTCTTCTGGGTTTTGACACCGTATAATGTTAGAGGTTATTAATTTTTCGGGGAATGTTTCACCTCCATTTTCAGAGTACAGTGTTTAATTTTGAAACTTGGGTCATTCCGTGTCAAATTAACAAACCAGTACAGTTCGGATATCAGTTAAATTTAATAAACTTGTACACTCTGTTTCTGTTGAGTAAAAATGCCAGAATTAGATTTCTACGTGTAGTTTTCTTTAGTAGGCATTTCAAAAATTTTAAAAATTTTATTAATTTTTTAAAAATTAATTTTTGTCATAATGCAGCTTGTAAAAAATTTCCCCCAATTCTGGCCCTGTTTGAGCTAGAGAGTTCATTTTGAGCTCATTTAAAAATCAATGAAATGCTGGTTCCAGTGAAATGTTATATACTGAGGTGTGATGTAGATTGGTGTAAGGGTCACAAACGTTGACATAAGACCTTGAATTTCAAAAAGTACGGACCTTTAATTTTTATATAATTTTTGTGCCATTTGATATCCTAGCAATGTTACAGTTTTCAAACGGGTACTGCCATGTGACCAGGAGTTATATATTTTATGTGTCATACTGTAATGTCATTTGCTCCTTCCAGACTTTGATGCAAGTCTAGACTTGATTGAACTGGCACTTTTGTTTTGCCATTTTTATTATGTCTTTGTTTTCCTGTAAAGGTAGAGAATTAATCCTGATTCAGAACAGGCTATAACAGTTGAAGAAGTTTAATTTTTTTATGAAAGAGTTATCATTCTGTGCTGAATATCTGTTCCATTTTCTACTGTTTCCACATTTTGACAGAGCAAAGCTGATACTGAATTGTATGTGTTTCAGATTTTACATAGCAAATTCATTATCTTTTGAGCAACAGACACAAAGATGGACACTGTAAGGAGAATGAAACTACAGACCTTGCGAGAGAAGATTGTGCAAGATGTAGATGTGGACTACATTTTTGATTATCTTATTTCTAAAGGCGTCCTTTCTGAGGATGAAATGGAACGTGTAAAAGGAGAGGTAAATCTAAAAATACCATGTGTTTAAACATGCTTGGTATTTTACACTTCTGTGGAAAAGTACATACATGCATGCTTACATTTATGTAAATATTGGCTTTTTTTTAAGTGACAGCATTTGAATAGCCAAGAATGAGATTAAGATAGAGGAAATATTTCAGATATAAAGATTTTAATGATTTTACCATGTTTTGAAAATGGGCACTTCACTTTCAGAAAACTCGTAAAGATAAAGCACGCCACTTATTGGACCTTTTACCTAAGAAGAATATCGAAGCATTTGAACACTTTGTTGAAGCTCTTAAGGTTTCCTACCCATGGCTCAGTCAACAGTTAGAGGCAGACAGTCCACAGTCATACCAAATTGAAGAGAAAAGTTTCTTTGACACTTTGCTGTTAGGAGGTTTGCCCCAGTCACCTCCACATAATGTTGAGAGAATTGAAAAGGTGAAGTATATTGTACATAAACTGGTAAGTTAATAGGATTGTTATATACAGTAGCAGATGTTATGGCTTGTGCATGTGATATTAATGTAGTACAATGAAGTTTCAATTTTGAGATCAATCATAAACCTCCAAGAGAGGTAAAAATGCAGACCCTGCAAATGCAGGACAATGCGAATGAAGAAAAAAATGAAGTTTCAGTTTTACAAAGGGAATTGGGTAGGTGTTGTGTTTAACATGTATGGGAAAGATATAAATGAATACAACATTTTGGTTTATAAAATATGAAGGGTAGAAACCAAATGGAAGACCTAAGTGTAGATATTAAGATGACACTTTAAGAAATACGGTGTGAGATTATGAATTGAATTTATTTAGCTCATGATAGGCTCCAGTGAATCTGTTAATGAACCTTCTGGTTACATAAAAGGCAGGGAATTTCTTGACTGAGAAGTACTCTGCTCCATGAAGTTTGTTATATAATTTTTTACTTATAAATGTGTGGTTACAGTTGGAATATACATGTGCTACTGTTTATCCCCCTTCTCTCTCTCTCCTCCTATTCCTACTTTCTAGCAGCCTTCTCATGGTTTGCATTCTGTAGTAAATAAGGCAGTAAAAATTACAAATTTAAGAATCTCAGAGAGAACATCAGTGGATGAGATACTCTCCTACATAGCCAAACAGGGTTGTTGATTTTAATTAAATGCAGAAGTAAAACAGAATAAGATAAGTAAAGTCAGAACTTGGTTGGAAAAGTTCTACAGCATACTTTACTTCTAGTGTTGCTGTAGAAACTTGGCATAGCAGGTACATATTTTGTTAGAGACTCAAATGATGATACAGACCTCTGCCAAGAGTCTGTTGTTTATGTGAACTGTGTCAAGCTTTTAAAGTGTCTGAAACAATTTTGTTTCTGTGTTTTGCTTCCACCACAGGATTAGGTTGCAAGTAGTAAGTATGATGTGAATTAATCTATATTGCATGGTATTTTATTTTATTGATATTCTTTGTGAGAACATTGCGTTTACGTTTGCAGTGTATATGTAGAATAATACTAAACAAGTTTCGGGATACACAGTACAGTCTTTTCTAATAGTAATTATGAACTAATACTTTGGTGTTATATTCACAGACAGTGGTATTTCATGAGTAGTGTGCCCTTGTGTGGGGGAAATGATTGGACCTCAATACTGCACATCTTTCTGACACTCTGTTTAGTAAGTCAGTAATTTTGTAGGAAAATGTCACTTTTTTGTGTCTCATATATAACTGTATTAACAAATCATCCAAAGAATCTGTCCGAGTCTGATGGCCAGTCTAACATTTTGTAATATGAAGCAAACTACTTTCTGGACATTATCCATTGTCCCAGATTTAATAAAACACGACGTTTCGAAGATAGGGACTAGCTCTATCGATTGGGCCCAACAGAGTGGGTTTTACCTGAAGACAGAAATAGATTCCAATCTCCAAAATGCCAGAGCCAAAGAAATGTTCTAATAGACATTCTGTTTGAGACTCTTATTTTGTGAAGTTTACTGAAAATCTTTGCATACTGAATTCTTTCTTTTTATGTATTATAGTTAGAGTTCTTCCATGGTGGTCTTCAGTGTTTGTGTGTTCCTGTTCAGTTTGTTGTCTCAAGATTATTGTGTGTTCTTCACATCCTAGCATGAGTGAAGAACACCTTATGGTCTGGTTCATGTCTGTCAGTGTGTTGCATTTTTTATAGGATGTTGGCAACCTACATGACTAGGGTTCATTCTTTCTCAGAAGTAATTTTTACAAGCTTCAGCTTCCTGCTTTTGAAAATAAAAATCCTTTGAATCCTGTAATGTAAAATATGTAAATGTGTATATTTTTATTGACAGATAAAAGAAGTGCGGCAGCATTTGCAGTCTCTCAAGAGGGGGCGTTATGTTGTACTTCATGGGATGACAGGTTCAGGAAAATCATGTCTTGCTGCTGCAGCACTTGATAACAAACAGCTTATTATTGAGAAATTTAAAGTAAGAAGTACAAATCACTCAAGTCATAATATCTATATTAATTATTTTTACATAGGGTGTGTGGTTGGATGCTGTTTATCACTTAGGCCCAGGGTAGTCCATGTCAGATTTGTGTTGTACATAATGGCACTGAAGATGGCTTTCTTATGGGTGGTTGTGCTGACTTACTGACTTTTCAGAGGGCTTGCTGCTTCCATCATCATCCACCCAGTGGTGGAAGCTGCAGGCACATTTGAAATGTTGGTACACTTCTTCTAGACTACATGGCACAACAACCTAGAAACAGCAATTTTTGTACCCACCACTGTGAGAACCTGAAATCTCCGAGTGGCACTGTGTCAGGTTTTCCAATGCATTAGTTTTACCTCACCAGTATTCCATATGCATCTGTCATCACAGGATGTGGTACAGTAGGCATATTTTATGCCACAGTACTGATGACTTAATTTCTCCCTATTCATGTTATGTATAGAAATTTTTTTCTCCCATTATTCTCCTTCCCTGTATTTGCATCTTGTTGCTGAGTGACTGTAACCTGTCTTTATAGTCCAAAAGGTGATCTGTCCACCACTGTTTTGTTGCTTGGCAATTGTTTAATGCATTGTATGCTTCTTGTTACAACTCTTTTGTTCCAAATTTTGTTTTTTAACTGAACTGTATTTGGTGTTGCTATCCCTGTTCTGATATTTGGTTCTTTTTGTGTGTTCTTGATGCAGGTGTGTATGGTGAATATGTTTCAGGGTGCTGTCTACTGGATTGGTGTCGGTGATATCAGTTCAAACAGTTCAGCTGACCTTGTGTGCCATATGACAGATCTGATGGAGAAATTAAGTCACCATCCTGAGGTTGATTTAGAGAGCCAGGTTCAGTCAAGTACAAGTATTAATGGAGCAAGGGAAAGTTTACGGCGATATTTTACAAGTCATTCTCTACGTGAAGGACTTCTTGTACTTGATGATGTTTCTTCTCCTGAAGTCATTGCAGCATTTGATATAGGATGCAAGATCTTAGTGACAACAAAAGATAGGAAGGTCATGAATAATGTTGAAGGAAGACATGATCTGGTTAAGGTATTGAGATGTCTTTATGCATTTTGATAAAGAAACAACTGCTGTATGTCACACATGAAATGCTATTACCTCATTTGACTTCTAAATTATTTGGTTGGTTCTGATGTAATTTATTTTTCTTAACCAGTAATAAATTTTATCAAGCAAATTGAATTTGGAATCACTTCAGTAGCCAGTAGTCTGTATGTGAAGGTTAAAATTTGTTGTCACCGGCTATTTTATTTTGATAAAATTTAAGGTGTCAAGGAAATAAGATTTTGAACCACATTTGTGTGTCAGGATTAGTAACACACAAAAATAGCTGCTGCGTATGTACCTAGTGGAGTAGAAAAATGTGAATAAGTGGTATATGAACCTGGTCAATGTCACAGTTCGATATTCCCATGTCATATAGTAAAAATATAGGGCACAACATTGACCATTTAAAATTTGGGATAGATATAATTGAAGGTTTGTTTTGAGTATTCCATGCCAAGTTGTCATGTTAATGACAGCAGCCTAAGGGTCTACAGACTGGCATTCTCCTACAAGAACACCTACAGAAAGGAATTCAAGCGGAGAAGGTTGAGTTTTCTGTGGCAAGCATGACAAAGGAGAGAGACTATATAGTGTTAAGAATTTGATGTTGCCCGGTGCATGGATGGTGTTTCAAGGCTTACCATACAATGAATAATTTGTGAAGTAACATAGAATGTGTATTTATAGCAGAGTTTAGAGGGAACTCATATTTTTATTTTATGTAAATTTAATAAAAAGCATGGACATTGTGTCAGTTCAAAATTCATGTAATTTGTACCCTTGCTTGAGGAAAATTTATATACACCGTATCCTACAGCCTGATGTTTAAATGCCCATGCTTTAAAGGATGAAGGAAAGCATTTTCTGTGGGCTGAGACTCTTATAAATAGGTAGTAAGAGAATCTTTACTTCCTTCACAGATTAGTGAGGGCTTTATGGAGCACGAGTCATTGTGTTTAATAGCAAAATGTGTTGGAGTTGAAGTGTCTCAGCTGCCTTCCCAAGCCAAGAACATTCATCGGTTATGTCAGGGTCTGACAATGGTGAGTAT